ATTATAAAATCACTGCAAAAATAGACGTTTTGTTTCACCACTTCTGGTGTCTTATGAAGAAATAGTGTTTAAAATAGAATTCTACTTTCAACACCATCACTTCATAGGACTCAAGAAGTGTTGACACAAAATGTGTTATTTTTTTAGTGATTTTATAACATTATTTATGTTAAATAATTATATTTGCTAAATAATTATATTTGCTTAAGAATAGTATTTGTTCATTTCCCATAAATCCGCTAGCATATATATATCTTTTATATATATATATATATATATATATGTATATATATATATATATATATATATATATATATATATGTATATATATATATATATATATATGTATATATATATATATATATATATATATATATATATATATATATATATATATATATATATATATATATATATATATATATATATATATATATATATATATATATATATATATATATATATATATATATATATATATATATATATATATATATATATATATATATATATATATATATATATATATATATATATATATATATATATATATATATATATATATATATATATATATATATGAATGTATATATATATATATATATATATAGAATATATATATATATATATATATATATATATATATATATATATAACTATTCTGTAAAAAAAAAAAACATTTTTTTATTTTATTTTTATTCAATTAATCTTCAGAAAAGAGACAAACTTATACGAACTCAAGAAAAATAAATAAAAGTTTTAAACGCAGTTCCATGTTCATCGTATTTAATGAAACTTGTCTAAAAGAGTGATTGCTGCCCAAAATACATTATATGCATACACCCTTGTGAAAATACATTATATGCATACACCCTTGTGAAAATACATTATATGCATACACCCTTGTGAAAATACATTATATGCATACACCCTTGTGAAAATACATTATATGCATACACCCTTGTGAAAATTAATTGAAACAAAACGAATAATTCTGTTATTATTTACTTTTTTCGTATTTTTCAATGAAACATGACTCAGTACACAAGTTAGTACTTCATATGTGCATTCCATGATGTCTTTCCTTGCAGATTGACCACAGATTCTCGACTGGATTTATATATATATATATATATATATATATATATATATATATATATATATATATATATATATATGTGTGTGTGTGTGTGTGTGTGTGTGTTTTTAAATTAATTTGTACAAGTGTGTATGTATATAATATTAGTGTTTAACCTTTTATTATATCCTTACTCTGTCCTGAACATTGAGTTCTACCTGGATTCTATCCTCTTGGAATTACTTTTATACCATATATATATATATATATATATATATATATATATATATATATATATATATATATATAAGCAAGTGTAAATGGATATAAATCCGACAGAATGAAGAAATTTTGAAAAACAAACAAAAATCCTTAAATGTAGTTAAATGAAAGAAATGTCGACGTCTGACGTTTCGGTTTATTAAACCTTTTTAAAGACAATATTCATCAAAATACAATTCAGTTCAATATGACAAATACGGTGGACATAAAAACACAAGTCTTATTCAGAACAGAATATATATATATGTGTGTGTGTGTGTGTGTGTGTGTGTGTGTGTGTATGTATGTATGTATATATAGTTTTATATTTTAGATATATGATTGCAAATGTTTGTGTATATTTACCACTAATATTATCTATCTATCTATCTATCTATCTATCTATCTATATATATATATATATATATATATATATATATATATATATGCATACACCCTTGTACAGTTTAATTGAAACAACCACTTTAGTTTCCTTTCTTTCACTATACGGTCAGTTTTAGACCCACTGGAGTGACAGGGTGTAATCGATTTGTGTGTATATATATATATTAATTAATGTTTAAATACTCGCAGTTAGTTTATTGTAACATGCTTACTCTTGGCTAATATGGGCATAGAATTAATTCCGCATATATATTCCTTAAAATTCTTGTACTTGTTTAATTTTTGGTATCCCTAATTTGTGATTTCCATGTTGACCTCTCCCTAAATCTACTTCAGGCCGATGCAATAAGAATTCCCGTTATTTCATTTGATATCGGTAAATCCTAAATTCTAGCATTATCGATTTTATGGAAAGGAAAATATGGGTTACTTTAACGAAATGAACCTGATCGAGGTTCATATATACTGTCTCCAGTAATAGATAATCATATAGCCGAAAATAATCATGTAAATCACTGTCGATAATTACTGGTCATTTCTCCGTCGTCCTGTCGTTAATGGATACATCAATTCAGACACTTTATCCCATCAGCATATCGCTGCATCAATGTCCGGAGAATTTGTGTCTACTGCGAAATGTTTCAAACATATTACTGCTATTTTGAAACTGGCCACAGCGCAGATTTTGTTCTACATATAGATTGATTGAATCGCTTATCAAAGCCTTTGAAGGTTATTTAAAGCCAGAATATAGTTTTCGATTATACGAATATTTTTTTAAGATAATAATGAGTTAGCGATACAAGTCTTTAACTCACAGCAGAGAGGGAGAAGTAGATTCATACCTAATCAGAATTTGATAAACAAGCAATTATAATATGTATATATAGTGGGGGAATATTTCTATATTACAATCAATAGATAAACTGATCCCTCATTTGAGACCACGGTAATTTCTATACATTTCTATTCCAGAGAATGTAAATAAATCTAAAAGACCTGCCTGTGTAGCTAATCAGTATTTCATTGATTGGTTCGTTTTCTACGGATTATCAACAAACAAGAAATTATAATGTGGATATAAAGTGGGGGAAAAATTCCATATAACAATCATTACATAAACTTATCCCTCATTTTGTGACCAGAATATTTTCTATATACTTATATTCCAGAGAATGTAAATAATTCTAAATGACATGCCTGTGTAGCTAATCGATATTTCATTGATTGATTGATTCGATTTCTATGGCTTATCAACAAACAAGAAAATATAATGTGGATATAAAGTGGGGGATATATTCTATATTACAATCAATACATAAACTGAGCACTAACTTTGTATCCAGAGTAGATTCTATACATTTATGTTTCAGAGAATATGAATAAATCAGAATGACATGCCTGTGTAACTAATTTATACTTTATTGATTGAATGATTCATTTTTCACGGCTTATCAACCCTTTGCAGGTTACTTAACACCAGAAATGATTTTTAGAGTATTTTAGATAATAATGATTTAGAGATACAAGTAACACATATCTGGGGGAGAAGAGGTGGATTGCTGTCTTTGTCAAGTGTATTTGCGCGTATGTGAATGACGAACCCTATTGGAATTGGAACTCGGTTCTCCGATTTCCATATTCCGTGAAATTAACCATTACACCACCGCACATCATAGCACCTAATCAAAAGAAACTGACTAACATGCAAAACATAGAAAATTTTTGTCCTCTGAATGAAAATTTCTCGGACATTCAGGCCGGTAAATGTTGTTTAATGCTGTTTATTATAAACAAAGCATTTACTTAAATATTTGTATCTATAAAAAGAATGTATAAACATAAAAATGTCTTAAAAATAATTGTCGGGCTTTGTCCATTTCATAATGTGTGACGTCATTTGTTTATATTTGATACGCCATCAGCAGATATGAATGTGAGAGATTCATGGATGATTGAAGTTTAAAAGCAGTAAATTCGACCTGGCTAACCGAGCGGTCCTCTGTGGTTGAATCGGTTAAAAGGCACGTCAGGCTATATGACGGTTACCGTATAGGATACAGGTTCGAATCCTATCGGAGGACGAATATTTACTATGAAAAGTTCTCGGACATTCAGGCCGGTAAATGTTGTTTAATACTGTTTATTATAAAACAGAGCGTTTACTTAAATATTTGTATCTATGTAAAAGCATAAAATGTCTTAAAAATAATTGTCGGACTTTGTCCATTTTATGATATATATTGTTTTTTTATAGATAAACTTATTTGAGCAAATGCTGTTTTAATGGAACAGTATTAATTACATTTACCGGCCTTAGGTCCGAGAAATTTCGTAGATATTTTGCACCTTCTGAGAGGAATCGAACCTGGCGTGTACAAATATTCGAGTTTCAGCTTCTTCATGATTACATGGAGAACTGTATCCAGGGACTTCCTTATGTTACTCATGGCTTGTTTTCTTTTTGTGATGATGACTGCGCTTTTTGTCTCTGCTTCACGCATCTTCTCCACAATGAAATGAAACTGTCTTGTTGCTCACATCACGAAGGATATTTTACCAATTACCTGATGTCTTACCTGTTTCTTTCACTCTTCTGATTCCTTGTCCACTTTTTGATCTCATTTCAGATCTCAGACTTGATTTCTTGTATACATCAAATGCTACGTCCACCCGCTCATACCTATCGCCATAATATTCCACTTTTGGGAGCAGGTCTTTTTAGCATAGTCATAAAATGTCTTTGAGTCTGTGGAGATAATTCATTGATAAGTGCTGATACATCAATGATGATTGCATCTTACTTTGGTTCTTTGTCTGAGATGTTCACTTGCGCTTCAGTAATTTCAACCTGCTGTGATTTTTGACCCGTATAAATTTTGCCGAACTTGATGCAGGAAATGACTGATTCTTGAGCTTGAAGAATTCTTGCAGGTCACAATGCCTGTTCTGGCAGGAAATGAACAGTCCCTAGTATAACTGACAGTCGTCGTTCAGGACCCTCTCCTAAGAAATTCCCTCAGCCTGTTCTTATGTGAAGAAAGAAAGAGCGTTTTTTTCTTTATTGGATGATAGAAAGATCTTTCACCTTCATCTTCTAACTCCTTTATAAATCATTCGGACTGCTCTTTGCTATCATTTCAGCTACAGTTTGGTCTTCAATGTTCTTCGTGCCTAGCAACAATAGGTCTGCTGATTCCTCTTGGAATGGGTTACCCATCATTGTAGAGAATGATTTTAATTTCTGATCACTCAGCCTATGTTCATAGCGTTTGCTGCTGTAGGTGCACCTTTCATAGCAGACTTGAGCTCGTATCGATCTACTAGACCACTAACTTCGGGTCCGGTGACCATCCACCTACGAAGTGCTGACTCGTCTTCTGTCAGCATAATTGCTACGCTGTTACCTTTGATTGGTGCGTTATCGAGCTCGTATGCTTGGTCGATCGCTAGGGCAGAGAATTCTCTTCTTGACTTGTGAATGACGAAGGCCTTTTGTGAAACTCCCTGGCCACTTCTGGATATTTTTGATCAAGTGACATCATATCGCGGAGATGAAATGGGATCCATCGCGCATAAAGCAAATTGTTATTCGCAAAGTAAAGCACTAGTTCTGAACTCTCCTCATCCCAATAAACTTATCAGGTTGAATATGGTGACCTTCATGTCCAGTACCAGATTCCAGAAGTGGCACTGCAATCTCTCTTTCCTCCGTTGTTCACCCAATTCCTTGTATAAAATTATGAAGAAGACATAGCATAATTACCGCTCTGATATGCCAAACTCTTCAGAGCGGTAACCATGGTATGTCTTCTTCATGAGTTTATACAACCTGCATGCAATGATCTGCTTGTCTTGTCCTAGAAACAGGTAAGATGCTACTGTACCAAATGAGGCCACATCTACTTCAACAATGTCACTGGTCCAGTCACTACCCTGTACTAATGCTTCTATCGTTCTCTGTCTTGCCATTTCTATATGAAGTCCATGAACATGGTCTCGTATTTGTTCTCTACATCCTCGGGTCATTTCCATTGTTTGGACAGAGCATACAACGGTTAGTCAGCAGCAATGACAGGTATTTCTCCTATGATCAGGAAAGCTACTGTATCATGGACCTCTACCAGGGCATGCGTGTTGGCAGCAACAGGGTGATCTTGGTCTCTCCACAGGCATTTTGGCTGAAATGCTGGATGGTTCCGTATCTATGTTAGTGGGCTGACCACGTGATTCCGAATGCTTGGTCTCTCCACAGCCATTCTGGCTGAAATGCTGGATGGTTCCGTTTCTATGTTAGTGGGCTGACCACGTGATTCCGAATACATCAGCCGCATCCACCGTGCGGAAGACTTCCTCCGTCCAATTTTTCTTTCAAGTTTCACAAGATCGACTCTGGTGCTGGTAAGGATTGTCTTACTACTGGAGGATGTTTGGGGATTTGCGCGATGTATACTGGTCTAATATTTGTGTATTCTTCTGGAAGCTCTCAAACTTTCGTAACTTCCATGTCTGACTTCAGTTTGAGAGGCTCACGTTCATCGCCAGCATTTTCAGTGCTTGGATGTTGGAAAATCGACACACTTCTACCCTGGAAAGATTCTTGTCGCAGTAGGTTCTGTGGTCGCATTATGATCTATGTTGTCCACTGCTGCAGTTGTGAACAACTGCTTTCTCAACACGTCTCGGGGACAGATTACTCCATCTTCAACATACAGTGCAACAACTGCTTCTCCTATTCAACTTTCCCTCACGGTACTTGTCGACTATCGGACTCGCCCCGGTATTTAGCCTTGGATGGAGCTTACCACCCAATTTGGGCTGCGTTCCCAAGCAACCCAACTCTCTGAGATTTCTAAGAATCTGTGGTATGATATGCTGAGCCCGTTCTCGTTGAAAATTTCGTTGATTTGTCTCTTCCTCATCTTGGCAAACAGATAGAGGCTCATGTAGACTGGAAAATGTGTTTCACTGCCCCTGAAATGCCTGTGGACATCTTTTCCTTCCTTGGCAAAGCAGTTATACTGGTTATGCTGTAGTTATGATATATTGTAGAATTTGTGATATAGAATGCTCCATGCTGGATTTGGGAGTTGATATTCAATCATGCTTACAAATTGTAACAGTGATGGTGGTACAACCCGTTTAAGTCTGTGTCGTGAAAGGTGCTGCTGAAAGCATGCCTCGTTCTATTACCTCAGCAGCTTTTGCTAGATGTATCCTTCACCATACTTGGATCCTTGTAAGAGGATTGAGCCTACATTATTTTAAAAAAACAAGCAGAACATCTCGTCCTTTACAACGAGCTAACAGTTTGGGAATGTGAAAAAGCAACTGTTTTTTGTTTTTTTTTTTTTGTTTTCTCTTACAGCATATCAACCTCAATGGGTTATTTTAATGCCGATAAGATTTTTATTGCTGGTATTTTTTTTTTTAAATGTACTGCTGGTAATACTTTTTTTCAAAAATGTGTTGCTGGTAATATTTTTTTTCAAAAATGTATTGGTGTGAATATTTTTATTTCGAATGTTTATTGCTTTTAATATTATTTTTCAAAATTGTATTGTTGGTAATAATTTTTTCTTCAAAAATTCATTGCTGGTAATAATTTTTTACAAAAAATGTATTGCTTGTTTTAAAACCTATTTTACACTTTCATAGTTTTTTGACCACAGTTTAGGGGTAAACTATATTCCCATAGCTGGGACCCTAACAGGCGCTACCACCCAGGGTCAGGTTGGACGTAGGAACAATTAAGAAATGCTTCAGCGCTCCTGAAAACTTCCCGATCAGAAGACTTGCAGTTTGGGTATAGTTTATCGTCTTACCCAGCACGTAAGTGTAACTGGCTCTTGAGTCGAGTAAAATGAACATGAGGCGATTGAACACCAAGCTGTTTCAGCTTCTGCTTGTAAAGCATGGTCAAATCAGCAAGCTTGAAAATGCTGAATCCCTACTGTCACTGGGATTTATTATCACATTAATGTCGGTGACTAGTTTGGTGAAGGCAATTGAATATGCTTCCTTCCAGCGATCAATGCTATCAAGCAAGCAGTGGGATATTTCAGTTCTTGTGCAATGGAATCTCAATCGATTAGTTTATCAGGGAATTAATTATCGCTGATTGTTTCTGCACATTCGTTTATTCTTTTAATCAATTGCATTGTCATTGCTTCTCTAACATTCCCCACATTAATTTCGAAAAAATAAAATTTTAGAGAAAAAAAATTGGATTTTTGAAACTTTCGGGAGATCTTACTTCTACAGCCTTTATCACTGTTACCCGCAGAGTCTGGTCTTTTCTCAGCTCTGATAACTTTGTGTTCTTAAATAGAAACCTGCAACTTTCATGATATAGTGCCTTAATTGTCTGAAGTTTTCTTCTATCCCATCACCTTCGTCAAGTCTTGCAGGGTCGGAATTGATTGGCAATGCATTGAGTGAAACAGAAGAATATTCATATATCCATCAGTGCCTCTTCTGGTATAATTGGCCTGGCGGAAATTTAGATATTCTTTCTTAACCTCCTGACATAAAAAAAAAACATTTCGTACAGTGTTCCACGAGTTTTTAGTAAAACTGACGCTGATGGTCAGTATGTCTATATTACTGGGATAAGCTATTATGTACACTATTTATATTATTCGGACTATTGTCTTCATACTTGTCGCCATAATTATCCGAATAATGTAAATAGTGTACATAATACCTCATCTCAGAAATATGCACTGATACTGAAAGGCCGAAACGTTGTAATAAATATGGCGACAAAGATGAGGACAATAGTCCGAATAATGTAAATAGTGTACATAATACCTCATCTCAGAAATATAGACAGATACTGAAGGGCCGAAACGTTGTAATAAATATGGCAACAAAGATGAGGACAATAGTCCGAATAATGTAAATAATGTACGTAATACCTCATCTCAGAAATATAGACAGATACTGAAGGGCCGAAACGTTGTAATAAATATGGCAACAAAGATGAGGACAATAGTCCGAATAATGTAAATAGTGTACATAATACCTCATCTCAGAAATATAGACAGATACTGAGTAGATTTTAACACATGTATGTCATGAGGATATTTAAAAGATAACGATTGGTTTTAGACATTAATAATTTAAGAATGTCGTGGTGTGTAAGCATCCTCACGGTGAGTCTGTTTAAGAAGGTGATAGTTCAGAGGATGCAACTGAACTTCCTCCTTACTAAAGGAAGACGGAGTTAGTAAGAATGAGTTGATGTCTGTGGAATGGCGGATCCTAGCTGTGATGTTCTGATCTGGTGGAAACTAAGGAATTTAGCTCATCTGAACATTTGACATGGAAATAGCAATAGAGTAGCCAGAGGCTTCGATGTAAAGGTCTGAAATGGTGGAACTAAGGATTGGAGCTCATCTGAACATTTGCCATGGAAATAGCGAGAGTTTATCAAAGTTTCCTCATTGTCAAAAGGGATAGTATTTATATTAGTCGGACTATTGTCTTCATCTTTGTCGCCATATTTGTCACAACGTTTCGGCCGTTGTACGCTCCGGCCTTCTTCAAGTGGTTGAAATTTCGAACTGAACCCTTTATTTCGATCACATGGCACAGTGGATAAAGGCGTTGGTTAGATCCAGTGACAGACCCAAAGAAGGTTAGTTCAATACCTGGTTAAGGCAGTGGAGAACTTTCAGAGGGAAAATTAGCAGGAGATAACTGATAACTGACATCCATCAAACATGGCACGTGGAACTAGAACAGTCTACCCCAGTGATCGAAATAAAGGGTTCAGTTCGAAATTCCAACCACCTGAAGAAGGCCGGAGCGTACAACGGCCGAAACGTTGTGACAAATATGGCGACAAAGATGAGGACAATGTCCAGATTAGATACTCACAACTCTGAAGATATATGGCAATAATATTCAATAATTGGTCTGAACTTGTTCAGAGACCTCGTGATGAGAGAAATTATTTTTGAAGGAAGTGTTTTTCAAACATTTATTAAATAAACGTCCTCACAATTGCGTTTTTTTTCAATCAATCGGTTCCATGAACAATTTGCCTGTTTTTTAACGGCCGCCTAAATCGCAAAAGTTGAATCAATAAAAGAAAGACTTACACTATAATTGCAAAATGCTTCATCAATCAATTAAATAATGCATTCTTTTCTTCTTTTTTTTTTCTCCCATCATTTGTGTAATCGAATTTCGAAACAGCAGCTTCTGGCTGTGATTAGGGATCTCGAACAGCAAGAAGACCCCAACCTACATTCGTATAATTACTGATTTTTGCATTCTTGTAATCTGGATGGCTTCAATTTTTGCATGGCTGATTATTTCAAGGACTTTACATAGATGTTTGGAACAAGTATTTTCCTGTCAAACATTATCAATTCAGAGAACCATCCCTGCCTCCCATTAGAATGTCTGACACTCAACTTCACGAGAGCTCCTCTTTGCGACTGCTCGGTCTCACATTGTCTGCTGACCTGT